CCCCCCCCCCCTCCTTAGTCAGAGTCAGCTTTTCCTCTGAGTTTGTCCTGGCGACGCTGTGCCATAGTAGGATTCGCCGTGAATGCGTGCGATTGGCACGCGAGTCGATGCGTCGACTAGTCGGTTGGCTCTGGCGAGCCGACCAGGTTGTGTCTGGGACTGAGCTTGCTGGGCAGCAGGGCGGGTCCGCGCAATGAACGGCCGAGTGAAGGCGAGACCTGAGTCATTCCGCGCCCCGTCTGAGGATCTCAATCCTCCGCGTCCTCTTGGCCGATGTCAAAGATTGGCCTCGAGGTGGTTCATGTCGGAGGGAGTATCGTTGCCTATTCGGGTAAACCAAAGTTCGGATGTGTAAGCAATTGCGTGTCTCCCCCGGGAGGAGAATCCTGCGGTAGGAGCTGCCTCGTGGCCTCCGACGGCCTGGGGTCGGCGTGTACCCAGTCAGGTAGCTCCTGTCAAGGATTGTCAGGCCCGCGACCGGAGCGCCAGCCCTCTCGTCGCGGTTTTTGCCCCGCTAGCATCCACATGTGGCTTTCTGGTCCAGGCTTGCTTGAGCGTCCCGGTCTACCCGCCGAGTTGCTGTCTGTCGCGCTCGCCTCTTTGCTGGCGGTGGCGTTGGGTAATAGCGTCTCGTTCTGGAGAATTCGCCTGTCGATCTAATACCGGCGGATTTGGCTCTTCGTCTGACGTCGTGCTCGAGTCAGACTTCTCGCCTTGGGGACCCGCGCGATCTGCCGTGGCTCGCGGACCTTGCGTTCGTCTAGCGGGAGAATGGGCTGCAGCGAGGAGGGCGTCTCGGCACAGGCCTGCTGGCACCAAGGTCTGTTGTAGTATGCCCGTTTCGGTACAATTGGCTCTAGAGGTCTGGGGAGAGCCGCGCGGGCTTCCTCTGTGTATTCACAGTGGAGTCAGAAGTGCGCTCATGTTGGGTTGCATTGACCGCAAGGGCATTTTGCTTCGCGACCATAGCCAAAGTGTGCAGCGGCCGTGCCGACTCGCCTCAGCACAAGGTGCTGGCCGCTCGTGTGCTCCTACTTCTTTTCTATCGGCGTTGGCCGGTTTGTACTGTATGCGGACTGGACTGCCTTCAAAGGGTGGTACTTGTTGGACAGGAAGGCGAGCCTGCCTTTCTCCCTAAAAGCCTGTTCGATTAGTGATTCGGCCTTGGGCAGCGTCGCGTGTCGCCGCCTAGTGGCTGTTCAGAGGTGTCGTCTGCCGTGTCACGAGCGGCTTGCTCAATCCTACCATGGTTGCAACGGGTAACGGGGAATAAGAGTTCAAGCCTAAGTCCCCTGGAAAGGGGCATCATAGAGGGTGATAATCCCGTACATGGCTTGGAGCGCCCGAGGCTTTGTGATACGCTTTCTAAGAGTCGAGTTGTTTGGGAATGCAGCTCAAAATGGGTGGTAAATGCCATCTAAGGCTAAATATTGGGGAGAGACCGATAGCGAACAAGTACAGTGATGGAAAGATGAAAAGAACTTTGAAAAGAGAGTTAAACAGTACGTGAAATTGCCAAAAGGGAAGGGTAGGAGGTCAGAGATGCGGCCTGGGATTCAGCCTTGCTTTTGCTTGGTGTTTTTCCCAGATTGCAGGCCAACGTCGGTTTTGGGCACTGGAGAAGGGTAGGAGGAACGTGGCACCCCTCGGGGTGTGTTATAGCCTCCTACTGGATACAGCGACCGAGACCGAGGACAGCAGCGTACTCGCAAGAGCGGGCCTTCGGGCACCTTTACGCTTAGGGCGTT